GTATTTTCAAAAGACACGTGCATCATTGCCAAAATGGACAGGAGGTTTTTACTTGATAAACAAGTTTCCTGCGCTACCTCAAGGACACAAGGTAGGATGGTGAGTGAAAGTGGTGAGAAATCAATTGCCTGCGAAAAGTACTCGCTCCCTACCCACAGAGAGGAGAAAAGGCTCCAAGAACTGAAGACAAGTTTCTCAGCAGGGCTGAGTCACTCTAAAAGTCTAGTCTTTCAAAAGTTGCATTGCACTCGAATAACCTCTTCTCCATTATCAAAGATGTGCATACAGATTGTGAACGCCATTTTTGGTTTTTCTAAATGCCATTTTCTGGGTTTGTTTCTTTGACGCTCAGGGACCTAGTCCTCACCAACTTGCACCCAGAGAGAATCACTTTGTTATCTCAAGAAACAGACTCCAAAGCTTGCGCCCATATGGAAAACAAATTCAAGCTCTGTGCAGGGGAATTCCCTCTTACCTTGCTTACCCAGCCACTGGTGAGTATACTAGTAACAGTGTTTTGTATACCAAAATAAAGATTAACAAGATTAGGAATAACGATGAAGACGACTTAAGTGAAGATGAGCAAGTTAATTATTGAAATCCTGTGGTTTTCTATGACTTTTTATAAATCAGTGAATGAGTACATAAGGGAAAAAAAGCAAGTCTGTCACTCTTCTGCATACAACGTGGAGACGCGGCTTTTTCAGGAAGGTTTTGGGCTCTAGCTGTTGACATAAGTCTGAATTTTTTAGGCAACTTCATGCATATATAATACCTAGCTACCACTGGTCCTGCCACAGCACGATTTTGAGATTCAAAACTCAATTTGCAGCTTAGATTTGTCTAAAAAGTGTGTTGCTCATAGTATAAGTTTAGAAAGATGCAGCTCAAGTTTTGAATGGCATTTCCTGGTACATTTCCAACATTGTGTTGCAATAATTCCAGCTACATTGTTCTCTTATTTTCTCAGTCCAAATCTAATCAGTTTTTCCTTTTCTTTCAGGATCAAACTTCTTAAGCCAATACATTTTATGTTTGAAAGTTAAGGTTAATGAACTGCCCGTCTATTACTGTAATTAATTATTTCTAAAAAAGTTTTGAGGAAGAAAATTCATAGAAATGTGTAGCCACAAAAAAGATTTTTCTCCTTGATAATCTTTTCTTGGTCACATTTTCCATTATTTATCTGTCTTTTCCTCTGCTCTGTGTGGAGACTATTGTGTCTCAGTAAAATTTATCATCAACCTACATTGGTCTGCACTGTGTTTTTACTAATCCTTTAAAAAAGTGGAAGCAATTCCAGAGACAAGTTGCTAACCTAGTGTTCTTGCAAAATCCCAATTTTGGCATTCAAACCCCATCCTGTACAATTTCCCAGTGAGATTTGACACGCTGCCTTAAGCAATTATTCATCACTACTAAAAGCAAATGGTGCTATACCTACTGCATAACCATATTTAAGATAATATGGTCTGAAGCGCAGAGTTATAGCAATAAGCATATCTAAGTTATTTCTATTTTAACTTATTAACATACTAAATATTACAATGTTTTATTTTAAAAATAAGCATTGCAATGCAATATGGCCAATGACAAATAGACAGATGCACTGTTGCTCTGATCAACCCAGATCAACCTACAAGTAACAGAATTAATAAGTGTATTAAATGCAGTTTGGAGGTGAATACAGGTGTTACTTAACAATGTTTGATAGATGTTTAACACAGGAAGCAAAAAAGCATACCCTAACCAATTAAAATTGCAGTTGGAAATTTGAAAGAATCAAATTATAGTTACGCCAAAACTAAGGCAAAATGGCTGGGACTAGTTTCTTCATCTAAAACGATCACTTCAGTAACTCTGTCTGTCTGGAAAATACCAGATCTTCACCTTCCCTCCTTGCTCAGAGGCCCTTTTGCTGGAGTTTGAAAGGACTTACTCTAAGAGACACTTTACCCATTCAGGAACAGTCAAGGGTTACTCTAAATAAAGGATGCAACAGCCTGTTCTGTTCAGGAAAATTATTTTGGGGTCTTGAATATTAACAACTGATTTTAACTGACATTAAACCAAAGCAAAACTGCACCCAAAACATTTTAGCACCTCCAAAGAAAAGCAACCATATGGTTGCAGTATTTAAACAAAGTTCCTGCCTGACTTCCCTGGGAGTTTCTGGAGAGAACCTCCTCTCCTCTTCCAACTCTACACTACATTTTCGCTGAGATAAAACAGGCACAGCCCTCTTCGCTTACCAGATTGCCTATCACTGGGAAATGTCCCTCCAGGGGCCTTCGAGCCCTTGAAGGCTATGGGCCAGACCCTGTAACAGACAATGATTTAAAGTCCCCCGAGGCATCAGGGATCTGACCTGAGCAGGGCCTATGGCACAGCAAAACACCACACAGCCCGAGCTGCCACAGCCCTGCAGGCAAGAGAGGGCAGCAGCCTGGCAGAGAAACAGGGATACCCTCTGCGGAGCTCAAACCAGAGAGTTCATAGTCCCCTTGGCAGGGAATACCAGGCCACGGATGCTTCCGGCAAGGGATGCCACCTGCTCCAACACCATCTCATTTAAGGCCAAAATTTCAACTAGAGGGCACAAAACATTTGCAACAAGATCCAGCTTCTCACAAAACTACTTCAACTTCAGGCACATAGATTCCCATTTTTACTACGGTGTTACACATTGTGATGCTTAATACATCTCCAAGCTTTTTTTATTGCATGAAAAGCTTAAATTAACCACGTGTCCTACAGTAACTATTAAAACTTTACAGAAGACAGGGAACTGCTACTGAACCAATGAAGCGAAGTATTTGCTTCTTCCAGACCCCAGGAATTTAATTGCAATATTACATTCTGGCAGGTTTCTTGCTCTAATTGGTATGTCATTACATTTCACAATGTTCATTATTCAAATTTAAATTGATTCAGGTTTAAACTGATCAGGAAGAGAACAAGACTCAAAAAGAGATTGCTAAGCAGAGACATGACAGCAAAGACTCTAGTGAACCTGAAGAGACATCAATAGTGCGACGCCCAAAATGTCCATGTAAGTACAGAAATACATAGATATTCTTAACAGTGCAGGAAATTGGAGTTGCTTACCTTGCAAAAACAGATCCTTCTCAACAAGGATGAGGCCTGAGCTTTATCACTAAACACAATTTCCATGATCTACAACGATCACTTCAGTAACTCGGGCTGTCGGGAAAATACCAGATCTTCACCTTTCCTAATTTAATTAAAATTGTAATTTAAATTCTGAGGGCCACCCATCGGTATGCCACATCAGCATTACAAAGTCACAGGATTTTATCCTGAATCCTACTGCTGTTTTTCTCTTATGCCACAGCAGGCAGAATGTGAAGATTCAACAGCATTTACATTTAAAAGCACCTGAAAAAACTGTATTGACAGAAAAAAAGTTCAAAAGTGTGACTTGAGTATAACTAAAAAGCCATAATATAATAAACAATACATAATAAATGTATTTGAATACCCTCATGAGTTTTAAGGCAAATTCAGGATTCTGAGAGAACCTGATTTGTGAGGGATTTTTTTTTTTTTTTAGAACACATAAACAGATATTCTCATTTGAGACACTGACAGCAGGTCTAACAACAGTCTTTTGGGAAAAAAATACTTCAACAACTGTAAATTAACAAAGCCGGAAGGACATAAGTGTGCCGGGGCTGCTCCTGCCAAGGTCACCGAGGCACAGCAGCCCCGGCCCTCGCCGCCACCTCAGCAGGGTTTTCCCGCCGTTTTTCCCGACCGTTACGCTTCTCCCCGTCACGCGCCCAGTGGCACCTCAAGAGGCCTGCCGCCCGACGCCGCTTCAGGTCTGCTCTTCTCCCGCACCTCAGCAAAAGGAAGGCCTTTTGTTCCTTCAGCAAAGGGTTAATTCCTGCCGGGCTGCGTAGGGAGTTTTCTCCACGTTTCTGTTCGGGGTTTTTTTCTCCCCCCAGCGGCGCCACAAGCGGGCGACGGTGAGTGCGGTCTGCCCTCAGAGCCCGCGCGCAAACCTGCATTTTTTCCACACAAATCCGAACAAGCGCTGCTGCTTGTAAAGAACCAAGAATATAACCACCATTTGGCATAACGGTATGTATCGAAAATGTCCCTTTGGACTTGCAGATTCAGTGAAACTGAGACCAGATTTAACTTAATACTGCGCTTGCAGGACTGGTTAGAAGTGATTTTTATTAAAAAAAGAGAGGTGTTTTACTATGTAATGTGCTGGATTCCAGTTGAAAAGTAATTTTGGAATCTTTACACTGACTCTCTGCCACAGACTCGGGTTGCACACAGAATGAAACTAAGCAACTTGACACAGAAACCAAGAATTCGAAAACCTCCCTAACTGAATGATCACCTCTTTCAGTAAGTATTTACATCACCTCAGAAAATAAGCTGAGGCAAGGCGAAAAAAAATACTGTTGCCACTTAAAATAACAAGGAGACATCCACAGACTTACACATACATGTAGTATTTCAGCTTGAACTGCCTATTTATTGTAAAACAATTTTCAGTGGCAATGTTGTATTTGGGCCATATATTTTGGTGGGCCCTATGGTTACAGGGTAACATACAGTACATTTTAGAAGGTACAAAGGCTCTTATTTTGTCTACTGTAAGACTTTTTTTTTTTTAAACCCTAGGCTATCTCTGATCTTAAGTTTGATGTGAATTTTCAAGAGTAATTAGTACATGTCAGAAAGTTACTATAAGACATATTTAATTTTTCACTGCAAATGGATTCTTATCTGATAATTATCAGACTCCGGCAGGTCAAAATTTGCAGAAGTACAATCTCCATATTTATGAAGTAGTTACAGCAGGAAATAATTTCCAGTGACATGCAGACAGGGATACAAATTACGAAGTAATTTTATTTCAACACTTAACCGTTCCACACCTAATTCTGAAAACGTATATAAGGTGGATGGTTCACATCGTTCATTCTACCTGCACTAGCATCAGCTCTGCAGTCAAGATGAAATTCACTGTGAGTATGCATGCTTTTTTTCCCTTATAAACTAAAACTTTGATTCAGAACCATTGCCTTTACCTCTCAGAAGTGCCTGTGTCTGTCTATAGCAAAAAGGTATTTTCTGGGGAGATTCTTCTCCTCCAGAGTGAGCAACTCAGACCCTATTAACCTAATCAGATAAAGAGGTAAGAATGTTTTTAAAGGTTTAACTTTATTCAATCTACAGGAAGGCTAATCCATGTCCATTTCTTGTCAACGCTTTTGCAAAACCGGAGCAATGCACTAATGGATCAACCACTTTCTTGTAATGCTTAAGTAGAGGAAATTTAAATTCCTTCTCCTCATTCTTGTAAAATACCTGTATATGACTGTACAGGTCTCAGAAGCAACTTCAGATTCAGCTCTTAAAAAACCAAACCTACTATGTGTCTAATTTGCATTATTCTAGGGTAAAGCAAGGATGACTCATTTTAGGTGACTATTGTAGTTCCAGTATGAAAGCAAAAGAGGATCCAAGGAGGACACTTAAACACCAGATTAGGAAAAAGGTACTAGGATCCTCATGACCAGATTTGTCATGAGTTATACTTCTCTTTTCGATTTTCATTTCAGATTGTGACCACCGTCCTTCTTGGACTCTTGCTGACTCCAGCCCTTGCTGATTACGTGAGTATAGTGACCAAGTTACACATACATTGCTGCTGTTTCTATATTCCCTGCTTCTTGAGTTTTCCTTGCTTCTTTTCCCTATCCCTTTGGAGGAAAGGAATCCAAAACTTCTTTTACGCATAAAACTCTAAAACCACTAGATGACTGTTGTAAGATACAGAAATTATTCATTGAATCTATTAAAAGAATTCTTATGGCTACTCCAGAATGCCACAGCATTAATTCTTTGTCATTTTGAAAATACTGTGCTCACTAAAGGCACTCCCTGTGGGCCAGCATTTATTCTATTACAGCAGTGATTTTCTAAAGCTTTGGGGAGGTAACTGACTAACTTGAAAGTCTAACAGTGTTGTTTAATTTTGTTTTCTAGTTTCAGAGTACAGACGTAAGCAAGCAAATCACCATTGCTGGAGGCTACCAAATTCTGACCATCAATTCGGAATGGCGCGTGGCAACTATCGAGCAAAAGAGCACCCATGGGTCATGGAAAACCATTTGGAACTACGATACGGTGAGTGGCAAGGAGCATGCTTTTTCAGAAGGTGTACAAGGAGACTAGCTCCTATAAAGCTGACCAAAATACTTGTTCTTTATTCTTAACATTTTTTGAGTCCAAGTTTCGGGGTAAAAACCATCTGCAATTTTTACTTTTTTAATACGGTCTTTATTCCAATCTTACTTATTGAAAAACTGAATTCCTAGTTGTCAATAACTTCATTTTACAGGGCGTTATTGCAAGCAAAGTGATGGCAGACAGAGCATGCTTCATTTCCGTAATGAACAGAAACGAGATGCCTCACTTTGATGCGCTTCCCAGACTGGCTGAAGAGAGCAGGGTAAGGCTAAAAAGGAGTAGTTACTTGTAAAGTTTTACAGTAATGCAAAGTAAACTGATGTCAGAGACATTGCTATTCTCAAATGCTTTTAAACCAACAGTTACTTTAGAAGCCATTTAGATCACACCATTGATTATGAAGTTGTATCAATTTCAATGACATTTTACATTAACATAATTTGAAACCTTTGAAAAATTAGAATACCCTGTTTCAGATGCTTGCAGTGGAGGGTTTTCATGGTTTTTTGATGTTGTAGATCACTTAGATTATTTTTATAATGTTTTAAAAGATTTAGATTGACTGCTTTTTAATACTGTTTTATGTTTAGAGATTTTAGATTTTTGGCATGGTACTCTTCATAATCTCACATTCTTTACAGGCTAAAAAACCCAATTTTTTTAGGCAGCTCTAGTTGAGGAAGAACAAATAATCCAGTAATGAGGAAAAAAGTTTAAATAAGATTTCAAGCTTTCAAAACTTTTGAAAAAGAACTAAGCACCATATTGACATGAGTTCAGCCCACAGAATTAGCACAGACATTTTAAAAATTATCTCAGCATTCAGCATACTAACCTTTTGTAGACACTGGCTTCTCTTGAAGTCTCAGAACTGAGTCCTTATAAAAATCCTGGATTTAAAGGGCAAGAAGGCATGGTGGGGAAGGAAGAGGGGAGAGTTACATAAGTACAGGCTTGAGCAAAAACATTCACCTCTAGCTATAGTCCCAGGCTTGCTTGTACTAAGATGCATCTCTGTGCCCCTGAAGCTTATCTCAACTCCTTGCTTACCAGCAAGAAGAAAGCCCACTCCCAGTATGCTTCCAGGAACCCTTTGATAAATTTCCACCATAATTTTGAAAGCTTATGTCAATCCCAGTCATCCCTGCCAAGTGTGCCTTTACCCTGGAGTTCATCAAGCTGTTTCTAACTGTGCTTTTTCTTGAGAGGATGAGATTTTTCACAAGTGGCAGGATTGTTTTTCTGAACAGTAATGTGGCTTGGGAATTTGCCATGAGGACGGTTTTTCAAAAGAAGAACAGTAGGTGCCTCATTTCCCCCCCGCCCCCCGCTACATTTTCTCTGAGGAAGGTTCAGGTTTGCAGGTTGCTAAGGAACAGTTTATATGAGGAAGCAGTCAATGGCATTAATTATTTTTGGATAGCAATACCTAAAAATAGTTCTGAGGCATTTCAATACAGAATCGCATTTTTCATTTTGGAACATTGCTTTGCGGATGCTATTGTTCAGACCTCCATTTTCCTTTAGGGCGTAAGAGAGCATCTCTATATTCGACAGCCTTTCTTCCATATTAATTGTATAAGCTAAAACAGGAGTCCTGTGGCTGTAGCTGAATGAGAGATAAAAACCAGCAGGAAGCTAGGTCATAAGAGAAAATACAGGCATCCAGACACTTTGTCCAGACAACAAAGCACTCAAGTAGGAAAATATATTTGAAATAAAACACTCTGGTGCAGTTTAGAAAAAACTGTCCCACTAAAACACTCGGAGTTCTCCAAGAGGTCATAAACACTACTTGCAAATAATTTTAGTGTAACTGGATCTGCCAAGTGTTGCTACTGCCCTCTTTAGTTCCCATTTTAGAAGACTGAATGAATAGACTTCTCCTTCCATGCTTCCAAGTTACAACCTGAGTACCTCCAGGGTGAGAGGTTAGTAAGTGACCAAGGAATCGCTTCTGTAGGAGGTCTGTGTGAAAATACTGACTGCACTACTCTTTTCCTGTTCAGCTGTTTAACTGAGTTTTCGGTTCTCTTTAGCCTCCCTCCAGCTTGACTCCCTTAGAAAGATTTGCCATAGGAGCTGTCTTCAATGCTTGCTAACAGTCCCATAGTCACACAGTTGATTAAAAGACCATACTAAATACAGTTTTGAGTAGAATACCAAGCACTGAGTCATCATTCCAGAAGTAGGAATATGCATAGCATTAAATGGATCAAGGCACTAATCTTGCTGAACGATGTTATTTCATGTTTAGAACCTGAAAGGTCAAGGACAACCTGTAAAGGAGATCACATTCATCATCCAGAGACCTGTCCGTGACCTCAGGTCTTACGGATCAAGCATCTTCACTATGTGCAGAGGAGTCACAACCTACCTGGCTTATGAAGTTCGCGGTGAGTGCAAGCAAATGAATTATGTCTGTAACTAACCAGGCATTTTTTTTCCTTGGGGAATAGTACACAAATGCTGCTGTTCCAACTAGAGATGGACACAAATCAAGAACCTCAGGAGTTGCAGAAAGGGTTCAGTATCTCTGCAGATCAGGTTTGGCACAGCCTCCGTAAATGATCTGATCCAAACCCTTACTACTCCTTTTAGTAAAGTTTAAGGTTGTTTAAGTTTTGGCCCAGAATTTTGCAGATTGACCTCATCTGTAATGCTAAGGTAAAGAAAAAAGGTAGTCGTAAGAACCACTATCCTTCTGTTCAGAGATTGCCAATAAGCTTACCAAGGAATCCCACCAAACACTTGTGTTTCACTATACTAAGCCAAGTCGCTTCATTCCCTGTTGGTTTTTCAGAGGTGGAATGACCACGTTACCTAGGAGTTTAATGACCTACATTTCATAGGATTCTCCGATAATGTCAAAGCCTGACAGGGCCTATTAACTAGCACTAGCATAACCACATAATGCACAGTAATATATACTAACAGTATAGAGTGTAATAGTGCCCCTCTGTACTGGAAAACCAAAAGAATATTAAATAGCATGTCTTTGTGATCATTCATTTTTGAGTTAAAGATCCAGTCGTGTTTGGTGACTACAAAAGAATCTTTCACTCATACATGTAAAATATTTCCATTGCAGCAATTAAAAACGTTGCTTGCTCAGAGCAATAAAAATACACTGTTGTAGAATGCCAGTTATTGCTATGGAGACTAGTATAAATCAACTGTCTTGCTGTAGGTGCCGTAATCATATTTTGATCACTTGCAATAGAATTTCTTGTAGTGTGGGGAAAAAAAAGAAATTATTTTAAAATATATATATATAAAGGAACTAAGTTTTACCCAGAGGAGTTAACCCTGAAGCACCAGCAAAGTACTCTGAGCCTTACTGCAAGCTGATTGTCTGCAAACCCTGTCATGAGAAAGATGCTCTGCAGATCCTAAGATCTTGCATTCTGACATAGCAGCATTTCCCCCTCCTCACATCTTGCTTTGCTTTGGTAATTGCTGTGGTACTTGAGATGGCTCAATTTGATTAAAAAGGCAAGTGCAATGTGCCAGGTATTAAGGGCTGCCAATGAATGCACAGATCACTTAACACCATCTTAGGTATTACCTCATGGTATTTTTTTTGTTCTTCTCTTGTTTCTGAAGGACCCCAATACCTAAACAGTCAAGGATCATGCGCTAGACTTGATGTCCTGCAAATTTTGGAGCTTAACTACTGTCGTGGCAATAACAAGGCCTGAAAATCTTACCTTTCTTGAACTAAGTACGGATGCTTGATAGCTGCTGCACAAATCCAACCCCGATGCTGTTCTTCCCTGGCATTGCCTCTTTCCAGGGTTTCGTTCTTGATGATTCAGATGCTGAAACAGATCAATTGGTGACCATATCTTTCAATTAAAGACCATTAGCATGGATTAACTCTGGCTAGTTTCTCATTACTATACCCTTTATCATCTGTGAACACATCCAGAAAAATATTTTGATTGCATCTCTTCTACCCCTTTTGAGCCCTTCAAATGCTCTTTTAAAAGCTTGCGCTTAACATAGGGCACACCCATAGAGGTGGGCAAGCATCAGAGGATGTACATTACAAATAAGGCATACAGAGTTAAGACCTTCCTTTCCCTTCTCAGGGAAAGGTGCCTCACATTAAAAATCTTGATTCATGTGGCATGAAAGGTAGAAAGGAGGATGAAACGAATTTACCTTTTTTAGGGGAAGAGGGGTCTAATTTGTAGGATTTACGGAGTCATTCTGTTACTAAAATAGAGTCCTCCATTTTTTCCAGTGCATGGTGAGGACTGGCTAGAGGCATCACATTGAGCTCTCAGGGGGATGAAGCTTTGCTTCAAAGATGCATACGCAATATAAACACAGTTGTTGATCCACATAAGACAGTGCAAGATTCCCAGCTGTCTCCTCCCAAACACCTCTAACAGCCTTGAAAATGCAAAAAAAGCAGGCTTAGTTTTCCTTCCGTAATGCTGCAATGGCACTGTAAAGGGAGATGAAAGATTTATTCCATTTATGTTGCCAGGGTCATGTAGAAACAGTCTTTGCGCTTTCCCCATAGCTAGTCCCAGATTCCCTGTATGTCTAGTCTTCCAGTAGTATAAATTTGACGTGAATCAAGCTAGGAACACAGTAATACTTCTTCTGAATTAACAAGGGCATTTGACAAAGTGTTTATGTCAGATTTGTCAGCTCTAAGCTAAAGACAATCCCCTATCTACTTAGATCCAGCATGAAGCTTGCTGTAACAAAGTTAACCTTTTTTTTTTTTTTTTTTTTGAAAAAGTGGGGACTGGAACGGTGCATTTATCTTGGTCTGTTGTCACCTAATAACAATTTCCCCCTCCCCGATCCTGCAGTGGACACCTAACCCCAAATTTCTTACACGGTCAAGTCAGTGTCATAGAGAAGAATCAAAACTTTAGAGAGTAAGAAGCCAATCCCAAGCATTTGAAAGTAGAGAAGTTTAGAGGGGAATTAAAGTACAATTTTTAAAAAAGAGTAGGGCTGTTAAACAGTAAAGCTTTAGTAAGGCAAGGTCCCTATTGCTCAGAACTTTAAAATCAAGTTTTAGTATTTCCTCTGTTCTAGCAGAACAGCAGGATGCCCTGGGTCATCCAGGTCTGTATTTAAGAAGAATGCCAGCCATGCAACATCACTCAGTTTCTGTTGCCCTCTCACTGATCCCCAGAGGCTTTATTCTGCAGCAGTTTGAAAGGATATAGAGTTCACTTAGGCACATCTCAGGCAAAAGCATCTCAGTTATCCGGATTAGCACACATCGGTCCTAGCAGAGGAGAGAGAGACAGTTTGTTGCTGCTAACTCCTTCCTTTTTGGTATTACACAAGTTCTTTTAATTCCTTCACACACCATCAGTTCTCATTTTGCTCAGACTGAGGCTCAATATGACAGAAAGAGGCAAAAATCAAAGTTTAGGAGGGATTTTCACTTATTTTTAGTCATTGTACAGTACCCGAACAAAATCTTTCAGCTCTTGTCATGCCCTACTTGGCCTTCTTATTGGCATTACTCTATTTAATTCCCTTTCCAGTAGGGACTGGAAAGAAACTTTTTAGTAGTAGTATGTGCGTTTTAATGCCAGACATACATGAGTGAAAGAAGAGGGAACTTCAGCCACCTAACAAACCAAAGAAACTTCTCAGCAGCAGCAGAACTACACCTGTAATGCTTACTGCAAAACTGGAATACAAGTGACTTGAAGAAACACAGTTAGACAAGGCCTCAAATAAACCTGATGGTTCAATAGAAACTTTATTCTTTGTTATCAAGTGGAGCTGTTACATGTCTTATTACCCCAGCCCAGAGTCTGTGCTTGCCAGCACACCCTCACAGCATATGTACACATTTGCTTCACACTGCTGGGATGAGAGTTCTGAAGAAGAAATACAGCAAGAACAGCCTCACTACAAATCTTCCAGCCCATACCATCCTCCAGCACTGCAGAAAATTACTGTAGTCCAGCAGGTGACATTTAACAGCAGAGAGCAGTTCATGGCAGATGTCCACAAAGCCATCTCCCAGACTCTGATATGCAATGATTTGGGATTTTAAAAAGCCACAGTTGCACCCTGCATATATTCTTCTGCATTTTGTCCTGTAAAATCTAAAGCATGTGCTAACAAGTGCAATAATAAAGACAGTAGGCAATACTCAGTCAAAGGAGATCTGTAAACATGATTAGGAGAAGGATAATTTGACAACACAGCACAGGCTGAAGAAGCAAAAGTTTTCCATTTATCACTGAAGTCCAAACTCCAGTTTGGAGCACATGTCAGTATAATTAACCTCTTCCAAATAAAGTCTTCAAGGAGGAACAGGGTCAGTTAAAATACAATGCCTTGCCTCGTAGATAAATGGTCACATTCCCTATGTTTACAGCACTTTGAAAAGGGTGAGTCAGACACCGCAAATCCAAAAATGCGGTAGGATTTATTTTTAAATCCTGTAGGATTATGTGAAATGTAGTCAGTAAATGTGAATCTTTCATTCCGTGCAGCTCTGCTCCCTCCTGCTGGGCATGTGTGCTTATCCTTTTGCCTTAAAACCAGTGGAAACCAAACTGCAGAAGATCCTAATATTCATTTAAATAAACAGTGCTTCATCAGGGCTGTTTGCATATTCACTTGCTCAAAGTTAGATGCGTGTTTCTAGATAATCATTGTTACCTTAGACTTAATTGTTTCAGAATTCATGCACCTTAATGTCTCCAAGGGGTTAATTACTACTGTCTAAATATCTGATCAAATTAAACAGACTCCTAAGGAGAACCCTGAGTTTGCATTCTTGTGAGCCACAGGGGACCGAGAATCCGGACACCGGTGCTGTGGCTTGGACTTGGTCATTAGAACATTCAGACTTTTAAACTCAAGTTCTTAGAAAATAGTTTTAACTGAGCACTTTCCCTTAAGAACGGAGGTCAAACTGAGCCACCCAGTTTTCAGAAATGCTGAAAAGCAGAAGCCCCTAATGATTTCCTCAACATTTGCTCCAAACTCAGGATCAGTGGGAACCAGGCTGATCATCTTTGTCTAAATTCAGTTAGAGAGAAAGATACCACCAATGATAGATGCCCCTTTGAGTAGACTGGGCTGAATTTTGTCTGGCTATAAGTGAATGTAAAAAAAACACTTGCGGAGGAGCTGCAACGATGCTCTACCCCTGGCAAAATGCTCGGAAATGGTTAAAGTAAAGGCAAACAAAAGCAATATACATGCAACACTGAGGAGGGAAGGCTGTTGAGAAGTGCATAGCCTTATTACACAACCCAGCACTAACCAAAGGGGACAACAGGTCATCTGACTGCACCCCTTGCTCCTAGGGAGGTTTAGGCAGAAATTAAAAAACAAGACTTGGAAAGCAACTGCATGGCCTTCTTAGATTATGGTAGAATTATTTCCTC